ATATGAAAATAAGTACAGCTATCATTGTAATTTACTCTTGCATCTCCCACCAGTAAGAACTTTCTTACATAAAATCATATATCACTGTGGAACCTAAGAAAATCAACTCATTTCAGACATCATCTAATATCTAGCCTGGATGTAAATTTCTCCACTTGTCCTAATAATATTTTTTTCAAACCTAGGTTTAAGATCCATGCATAGCATATGGTGGTGGTGTTTCTTTAAATCTGGAAGTTTCCTTTCTCTCCTCTCCTTCCCATGTATTTCATGACATAGTCTTTGGGAAGAGTCCAGAGAGTCGCCACATAGATGTTTCATGTTGTGTTTTTGTCTGTTTCCTCATGGTAGCATTGATCTTGTTTCTCTGTCCCCTTATTTCATGTAAACTAGCAGGAGCAATAGCGGCTTGGTTGGATTCAGATGAAGTGCTCTCAGTGATGTTGTGTGCTTCATCCTGCCTTCAGTCAGGAAGCATATCGGTGTCAGCTTGTCTTGCTCTTAACGATGCTCAGTTTGATCACTTGCCTCGATGGTGGTAGCCAGCATGCTCTCTGACTCTTTCTAGTAAATATTACAGTAGAGAGCGATGGTCATCTCTAAAGCCACCTCTTCCCATTGGCTCTTTTTGAAGGTCAAATGTGTCTCAAAGAGTTGCAAGGCAACTTTGGGGCCTAATGGTATGGAATGACTCTGTTGGACACAATTTGTGGGTAAATAGATAGGAGAGCTAAGTTGGAGCCTTGAGATGAGACTGTGGAGAGAAAAACACATGTTATGCTTCTGGCTTCTTTCTAAGGATCTTGGCATTGTACCTGTCAGCAGGTTGACATTACCAGGGAGAGGTTCTTCTACCTTCAGTATCATCACTCCTGGAAGGAGGGAAAAAATTGTCCATGTGTAAAATGATCTTCCTGAGATAACAAGAAAGGAATCACAGAACCCTTAAAATGTTCATGTAGCATGTCTCCAACAGCCGCATACTGACTCTAGGTGGCCAGGCCTCTGTAGGAAGTATCCTAGAAACAAGGCCAGAAGACTGTCCTCGTGATGGTTGTATGGCTTACCTTGGAAGATTTTGTGGCGTTTGATGCTGCAACCTAAAAATCTTGGAAAGGGCAAGAAAAGATTAGACCAAGTTAGACCAAAAACAGGAACATCAGCAGGGAAAGAGTAAAAATGACAGCTTCCTGGAAACTTACTAAATGACTTTAGTTCTTTACAGGTGTCCCCTAAAACATGTCCTCTTACTGCTTCTGTTTTTGCAGGTAGGGAGACTAATACTCAGGTTAAGTAATTTGCTTAATGCCGCACAGCTATTAGGTGCTAGAACCGAGATTTGAACTCAGTCTGTCTGGGTAACCTCTGTGGTGGACTTCCTGCTAGGGCTGTATGCCCTGGATCTCAACATGAAATGGAGTAGGAAGAATCTCAGTGACTTAATAAAACGTACTAACCATAGTAAATATTATTATTATTGGTGGTATAGATTATTTCATAATTTTAGTGGATCAGAATTTGGGAACTGCTTAGCTGGGCAAGCTGACCAGGGATGTCTCGTGAGACTGCAGGCTATTGTTAGCTGGGCTGCGCTCAATTGAAGGCTGGGCTGGGGCGGGGGATTCTACTTCCAAGGTGGTTCCTTCACATGGTTGGCAAGTGGTTCTTTCCCCTTCTCCTAGACTTTTTGAAGGAACTAGTTTACATATTACAGGTATCATCTTACAGAAATTTATAGAAGTCACCAAGCCCCTCAGTGAAACTGGCCACCAATAGTAACAACCTCAAGAGGCTCTGGAGAGATCCATTACAGGGAAGAGACATAGGGGAGGGTAGAGATGTTTAAGAAAACTTGAAAACCTCAAGGAAAGTGCATCTGGCTTCTACTTTTTAATAGTAGATCCTTGACTGGATCCGGACGCTTCTCCCCTACATTCTTAAGAATGTAGCAATAAATGTTTCTTAGAGAGACTTGGGGCAGGCTTTTTTGGGGTTCAGGGAGGTTGTCTCTAGGAAGTACTTGTTGAGATACTTATTTACACATGTCCTGCCTAGTTCTAGAAAACAATGAGCTAACTTTACAGGAATATACTAGCAATGAAAAGATGAAAAAAAGTGGATGGTGGGTGGGGAGCGAGGTAGAATATATGGTACCTTCCCGGACGGCCTTTGTAAGGTGTGGGAGGCACGGAGGGACCACAGACCCTTTGGAAATCCTCATATACAACTGCTCCCTCTTGGTGACTGTTGAATGGCTCTGAACTGGAGGTTATAGCTCCTGAGCAATAACTGGACAGAAGTTATTGTATAAGTAAGCTCAGGGCTGAGGATGGGGGTGGTTGGCAGCAGTTTCCATCCCATTCAGGGTTTGGAGCTTCTGCCCCATGTCAGTCTGTTCTGTTTTTGTGTGTCAATTTCCTGACTCTTCTCATCCACAGAGCCAAATTCACCAGTGTCACAGTGGCTGGGGGGGCTGGGTGGCTAAGCCACCTGCTTACCTCCATTACAGAGCCTGGGCTTGACTGGTCTTCCCCTACCATCTACCCCAGGGTCTGTGACTATGGGGCTGGATTGCCCGTTTTTAACTTTTATGGCTTTAAATCTTATGAAATATTTTTAGGGTAGAAAAAAACCACTTTAAAAAAATATAATTTATTTACATATATATTACATCGTTCATTTTTGTACAATGTTTGCTTTCTCCTCTCAGGTGTAGTCTCCATAGAATTCCCACCACCATTTCACCCATGCACCGTTGCCATAGTCCCCTGTGCTCTTCCCTCCCCTGTTCTGAGCCCTCTTCCCCCCCACCCTTCTCTGCAGTGTGTCTCGGATTTATGGTTGCCTGCCAATTTTTTTTTAATTTTTATTTATTTATTTTTATCTTTTTCATTTTTTATTTTAACATTTATCATTTTTTACATTTTCTTTTTTTTTTTTTTTTTAAAGATTTTTTTTTTTTTTAAATAGAGACATTTTTATTTATTTATTTATTTGTTTGTTTGTTTGTTTTGTTTATACATGCACTGGGTACAGTCAGAAGCGCGGGAGGGTGAGAGAATTCACCAGAGCCAGAGCGGGGAGCAGAGCAGGCAGAAGGACCGAAGGACACTGCTGAGGGGAGCAGCGGGCGGCAGGAGAGGTCTGCGCGCCATGTGGGACCCTCCTCCGGTGGCCGGGGAGCAGCCGGGGATCGAACCAGCGCCGCAGAGGCCGCGGGCAGCCTCGCAACCCAGCGCTCAACCGCTGCGCCACCGGGGAGGCCCATTTTTTACATTTTCTTAGACAATATTTGCTTTGCCCCACACCCTCAGATTGAGTCCCCATAGACTCTCCTTCCCCAAGGCACCCATGCACCATCACCACAGTCCCCTGTGCTCCTCCCTCTATCCCTCTCACCCCCTCCCTCCTCCTCCCCTGCAGGATGTCTCTGGTTTATAATTATCTGTTTTTGCTTTGTTGTATTTTGTACTGTTATTATTTTTTTTACACTGATGTCTTATTTGGTTCCCCTATATTCCTGTTATAAGTGAAACCATCCAGTATTTTTCTTTTTCCTTCTGGCTTATTTCACTGAGCATAATTCCTTCTAGCTCCAGCCATGTTGCTGCAAATGACATGCATTTATCTTTTTTGATTGCTGCATAATATTCCATTGTGTATATGTGCCACATCTTCTTGATCCAGTCATCTATTTTGGGCATTTGGGTTGTTTCCAGGTTTTACCTATTGTAAATAGTGCTGTAATAAGCATAGGTGTACAGGTGTTCTTTTGAATCACTGTTTTTGTGTCCTTTGGATAGATCCCTAGGAGTGTTTTACCTGTATTTTCCTCTGTATATTTTATGGTTTCAGGTCTTATGTTCCATTGTTTTATCCAGTTTGAGTTGATTTTTATGCATGGTGTGAGACAGTAGTCAAGTTTCATTCTTTTGCATGTGGTGGTCCAGTTTTCCCAGCACCATTTATAGAACAAATTGTCCTTGTGGCATTGCATATTCTTTGCTCCTTTGTCAAAGATTAGCTGTCCAGGGCCTCCCCGGTGGCACAGCGGTTGAGCTCTGGGTTGTGAAGCTGCCCGCAGCCTCTGCAGCGCCGGTTCGATCCCCGGCTGCTCCCCGGCCACCGGAGGAGGGTCCCACATGGCGCGCAGACCTCTCCTGCCGCCCGCTGCTCCCCTCAGCAGTGTCCTTCGGTCCTTCTGCCTGCTCTGCTCCCTGCTCTGGCTCTGGTGATTTCTCTCACCTCTGGCGCTTCTGACTGTACCCAGTGCTTGTATAAATAAATCAAAATAAATCTTAAAAAATATTTAAAAAAAAAAAAGATTAGCTGTCCATATATGTGTGGCTTTATTTCTTGGCTTTTTATTTGATTCCATTGGTCTGTGTGTCTGTTTTTGCTCCAGTACCGTACTGTTTTAATTAATATGGCTTTGTAGCATAGTTTGAAATCTGAGTGTATGACAACTCCATTCTCCTTCTTTTTAGTCAGGAGAGCTTTAAAACCACCTGCTTTTTAATGCAAACAAGAAAAAGAATAAGCCCCTATAGTCCTTCATCTAGAGATGACTCCTGGTGACATTTCCTTCAGGTGTCCTGACCAATTTCCCTCACTTTTGCCACCTTTCTTTATGTCAGAAGGGAGGATATTACTTGAAACTACTTCCTTTTTCTCGGTGAGCCATCAGTATTTCTAATTAGGGCCCTCAAATATAAGTAAACAAATTAATAAGTGATGTAGGAATTATCTCTAGCTAACTTCATGACACAAAACATCAAACACAAAGAGCACAGTCTTTCCCACCAGATTAATACAGAAGTGTTGACAATGAGATGTAGCCCTCCTTGTCCTTTGGTCTGTGCTGCAAGACAAATTTGAAGATGCGGAAAAGTATTGCCAGGGATGCCAGAGTAGGTGAGATGGGAGCTTACTATTTACAGAATCTTAACTCAAGGGTGCATTTGCTTTAGTCCATCTATGTTGCCTTTTGTGTCCAACAGTGGAGAACACACAGCTGACCCTGAACCTGCAGACGGAGAACAAAGGCGGTGTTGTCTCGGGTGGTGAGCTGACAATTTTCCTGGATGGGCCGACTGTTGATACGGGAAGTGTGCCTAACGGCAGTGCCGTGACGGAGGGTGAGTGCCGCCCTGCTCCCCAGGGCTGTGCCAGGATTGGGCAGGGCAGGGTAAGGGATAGGAGGTAGAGGAGGTGTCCGGAACTTGGTTCTCCATCAGGTATCTGGGTTGGGGTACCCTTCAGTTGGTCCTGGCCCATAGCATACCTAGACTCTTATTAACATCCTGGGTCAGAATTGTAACATGATGTTTTCAAGGACTGTGTTCTGATAAAGGACCAAAATAAATGTCAAGTCTTTGTAGGTGTGTTGTGGTTTGGTTTGAGAGCAGGAAAAAACATCTTTTCATCCCATATGGACTTTAGAAAATAAAACATCTTTATTAACCATTGCTCTTCTTCCCAATACAGTTAAGCTTCCTGGGAAAGTTGATGGTGTCCTTTATGGGACAGCTTTGGTTGGGAAAGGGGACTATGACTTATAGAGATTCACACTAACAAAATACAGACAGAAGCAGGGAAGTTGTGGAGTGTCCCCCTCTTGTCTTGAATGTAGGCAGTTTGTTTCTTTTGATCTTGTCTGAAATTAGTCACCTTTGGATCTAGCAGGAAATTATTTCATGGACTCTGAGGTCTGAAATGGGTTGGGTTTCTCCATAATTTTTCTCATTAAATGTGATGTAACTAGTGCTTTTCAGGCTCCAAACAGGCTTTCTGTAGCTTCAAGGGAGTGAAATTTAATTCAAGGGCAATTGGGTAGACTGCATGTCGCAGTGATTGGATGGGCCTTGACTGCTGAGAATCCAGTCTCCACCCAACTTCGAGTTGTGCTTGGGTACTTTGGGTTCTTGGAGGAAAAACCTGCATCATTCACACAGTCAGCACATGTATCCATAATTAAGCATCTGGTATGTACTTGATCTTGGACCAGGTGTTAGCCAGATGGCAGTGGGCAAAGTTCATGTGGTCTCTATTCCCGGGAGCTTATACCTACTTGTCAGGGGTAGAGGATGTTAGATGTTAAACAGGGAAACACAAAATTGTTCTATAACTGGTGACAAAAGCTATGGAGGAGTATAGGGTGGTATGAGATTCCTGTACTTGAGCACTCATCGATATGTGGAGCATCAGGGACGGTTTCTCTGGGGAAGCTGAGACGGCTGGAGAAAGAGGCATTTAGACAGGGCATGGTGGGGGCTCAGGTAAAGGGCTGTTGAATGAGAGGTGGCGAGTTGTATGTGAAAAAGAGGTGGGAACAGGCTTGGCCTGTGGTGGGAACAGAGGCGATTAGGGTGACTGGGTTGTGGGAAACAACGAGGGGGGATGGGATGTGGAGCCAGGGAACCAGGTTGGCTCAGATCCTGCACCTTGAGGGCCTGGTAAGGATGTTGGACCTCACCTTAAGAAGCAGAAAGCTGGCGTAGGGTTTTTGGCAGAATATCATGATTTGACTGGAATTGACTCTGATTTGGCTCTTTGCCTTCTGGAGCAGTGCCCCAGTTTCTTGCCCCTACTCTGCAAGGCCCACATCCATTCCCTGACTCACATTGGTGTGAGAAGTTCACTTCATGTATAAAATCAGTAAGTAAGCTCTAACTGCCCTTGATGTTCCTGAAGGATTTGGAGAAAAATCTGTTTCCCAGGTTCAAGCCCCACTGGTCTGTGACTGGATCAGATGTCACCTGACTGTCCCCGTTCCTTCTCATACTGGCGGCCGCAGCTTGCTAGACTGTTGGTATTCCAGGGGGTGGTAATTCCAGTACACAGTGAGCTCTGTCCCTGTAGCCACATCTGAGACAAGGGCTGAGTCTCTCAACATCTCTGTCTTCTCTTGTGATGGATCCCCTTTCTAGGATCACAGCCGCCTTCGAGAGAATCCACCGGGACAGCTGTCGCCCCGGAGAACCGGCACCAGCCCCCCAGCACAAACTGCTTTGGTGGCAGATCCCGGTAAGAATCCACCCTCTCTCCCCTCCTCCCCTTTGCCTTGGGGATGAGGAGGAGCTGGGAAGGTGCTTAGAACTATTGAAAAAATGTTGGGAAATGGCAGGGAACAGTATGTTATAGCTGCTGGAAATTTCCAGAGAGTTTATAACTGACTCAGTATGTCAAGGAGGCCCACAGGGGAGCATAAAAACTCATGATTCTTGGAAGGTCAGAGGTTCCTTAGGCTCCTTGTTGAAGATTGGCTAAGTTGGTTATTTGGATAGGAGGAACTGTTGAGCAGAGCTGGACTACTTTTTTATACATCAGGTGCAGGGGCTGGGTTATCCTGCCAGAATACACATAGGAATGCTTCGAGCTGTGGTGCTTTGTGTGTGGAATTTTCTGTCTGTGCATTTCTGTTTTTTGGGTGGGGTAGGAGGAGTGGTCCATGGTTCCCTCTGGCATGTTGGCCAAGACCTTCTGCACCTAGAGTCAGCGTTATATTATTCTTGTTACATGTATTCACAAATACCGTCATTTTACTCACTGAGGTGCCCATCTTACCCCTTTGTTAATGGTGCAAGCTCACATCTATGGCAACTGAATTCCCAGATAGGAAAATTGCTTTAAGTTTATTAGAGAAAAGGGGGAGGTAGTGGGACCCATTTATTTTATTAAACAAAATTTTCTCGTTAAATTGATTTATTTTCTTACATTGTCATTAATTTTTGGACAGTATTTGAATTTTCCCCTCAAGCGTAGTTCCCACAGTTCTCTCACCACTGTAGCACCCAGTACTCGTTGATTGTTTATTACAATGTACAAAAAGTCCAGACATTTTAAGGAAATGTTGAGGAAAAGAATCATATGCATGTGGTTTGTAAACATTTATTTTAATCTGTGGAGAGTAGGTGAATAGCTGGTAAAAATCTTCCCAAACAAATCTCAGGGAGTAGGGAAGTAATGCTTTGAAAAGCAGAGTATGATTTCAGCCAACACCCACAAGCATCTTGAAAGACCCCTCCAGGGCAGCCAGTGACTCTCTGAATTGGGGTGTTTTAAGGGCATGCGAGCTTTTGGGTGCTCAGAAGGATTAAATGAGGCTGGACGCTTGGGTCTCTTAAGCCCAGATTCGTTTCCCTCCTTGTTCTCTTTCCCCCATCGCTCTGCAAAGGTGTCATCTCATACCCTGAAGGGCAGTTGCACTTTTCTGTGACTGACTAGGTGAGTGTCCCAGGGTAACATCTGTCAGTATAATTGGCAAATCTGTGTCAACAGAGAAATGATAGCACCCAGAACTAGAGGAAAAACCAGAATCTCCTCAGTGGCGAGTAGCTGGGGAGAGGAACACATGAGCATTTCACTCTTGAGAATGATGCCTTCTTCACTGTGGGCCTGGTGTCTGCCATCTTGGTCTTCTAGCTTATTTGGAAAGTGTGTGTCAGGTACAGCTGCTGTCCCTGAAGGCAGAGTTCAGTCTTTAACAAGTTTGGGCTTAAATTGTAGATGTATTTATTGCTCTCTAGTTGATAGACCTTGAAACTCATATATCCCGACAGTCCTCCTTTATGATCGTTTGTGTTGAAGGTTGTTGACTGTTAAAACAGCAGCCTGACTTCCACAGACGCTCAGATGCAGTCTTGGCTGTAACTTGTGTGGACATTCAGTGCTACTTCACTGTTGGTGGGCAAAGTGACTGCCATGTAATTTCAGCCGCCTGGGAGTCCTCGGTCTGCCTCGCTCCTGCAGCCATTTCCACACCTGGGTTCGGCCATCTAAATATTTCTTCTGTGTTCACATGGAACTTGCTGCCATTCAGCAGGAAGCACTTTTGAAAGTATCACCCAAAGGCAGTGTCTTCTGCATCCTAAGAACCCCGTCCCCCCTGGCTTTCACAAAGGTCCATGTGCAATTCTGGTGTTTGCAGTCTGGAAATCAGAAGATACAGATTGAGTCCTGGCCTGTCATTTACTTATTCAGTGATACTGGACAAGTCACTGAACCTCATGGCACCTCATTTTTCAGGTGGACATCCCCACTCACATTTTAGGATGGGCAGGAACAATCACCTGTTTTGCAGGGTTAACGTGGAAATTAGCTGAGATAAACTATGTCAACCTGAGGGCCTTGCGTGCTGGGAATGGTCAATGAAGGTGGCAAGGTAGGAGTGGTGGGGATTTCTTTGTACCTGGAGACTGACTGTTGTGCCCCGTACCCCACCCACAAACCTGAGCAGTGGGGTGTTACTAATACATTCTCATATTCTCATCAGAGGTCATACTAAGGAGGGTGATTGATGAATCCAACCATCAGAGGACAGACAGAATAATGGGCTTCTGCCTATTGCCTCCCAGACTAAATATTTAGCTTTTGCTGTCTGAATGGTCAGTTTTTCTTGGACTTAGGTGCTATTCCCCAAGATTCAGGGTGCTCTGACATGCCTATGAAAGTGAAGATTACAATGTCAGAGCAGCCTTTTCTTCTTCTTTCCCCTGTTTTATCAAAGCCATAGAACTGAAAGAGGTTTATCTTACAGGTTCTTCTACCCAACTTCATCCAGTAGAGCCACCCTTTGCTTGCTAAGCAAGACCTCGAAGCTCCCTCTCTCAGTGGGATCTTAACTGCTTCTTAAGAATAATCAGCGAGGGCCTCCCTGGTGGTGCAGGGGTTAAAGCCTCAGCACTATCAAGCTATCACATGATAGCCGCTGTGGCGAGTTCGGCATGAGTTCGATCCCCAACCAGGTAACTAATCCATATAGTGCAGCAGACCTCTCCTGTCTCGCCCGCTGCTCCCCTCAGCAGTGTATTTCAGTAGATCTGCCTGTTCTGCTCCCCACTGTGTCTGGTGAATCCTCTCCCCCCACACACACCCCAGTTCTTATATGCATAAATAAATAAAAATAAATCTTTTCTTTTAAAAAGTATAATCAGGCGAAACTTCTCTGGTTTTTTAACCACCTGGTCTGCTGCATAGAAGGCAACGTGAAATCACTATCCACAATCCATGACATGTATTTGCAGACAGACAATGTTAGTATGCAGTCAGTGGGTCTGGCTGAGTAAGGAAAGCATTGGTGTCAATGCTTTGTGGTATAGGCCTATAGTGAAATTCTGTCCCATAGTAAGAGTGGGTGAAAGATAGTTGCATCAGTACTGTGCAATCTCAGAAATATAATGTGGAACAAGAGAAGCAGGTCACAGAAACAAAACCAACGTATAATATGATGTATAGAAAGTTTTAAAAATGTAAAATTAAACCATATATTTTTATAGATACCTGCATAGGTGGTAAAACTATAAAAAGTAGGAGGGGATAATTAACCCTGCATTCAGGAGAAGGGTCATCCATCACCGGGGGGCTAGAGATGAGATAATGAGGAAGTTGCAGGAGGAAAGCATTTAGTTACTGGGAGTGTTCTTTCTTAGTCTGGATTGTGGGTCCCCAAGTGTTTATCTTCTTCTTCTTTAATAGGTATTTAATATATTCTGTGTACATGGCATAGTCACAATAAAAAAGTGAAAACCAGAGTCATCTAAGAAAACTGAACAGTAATGCTATGAGGTTAGAGAAATTATCGTCTGCTATTGAGATTGACCGATTTTGGAACTTTGGCTTTCTCCAGGTGGGCTAATGACTGCTGCTTTCTCTCCTGCCCATTTATCTGTTTAGCAGTGTAGCAGGTGATTCTAAACTGATGCGCCATTTTCCCCTCATAGGCCACGTCCTTGTCACTTAGAATTCTCAGGCACCAGAATTTAGTTAGAGTTGGGGGCATCGTTTCCAGAGGAAAATTGGTGACTGCCAGGTAACATGTGAGAGCAGCTCGTCTTGGTGGCTTCACTGCTGCTGTTTGGTGTTTGATTGGCAGGGGGATGATGACAGGGCATACGTGGCATCCTGTCTGTTACGTGCCATCCTGCCCTGTGCCCTCAGGGTTCCTTATATCAGTGTAGTAGTGGAGAATGCCTGCTGTATTCTGAAGCCCCCAGTAGAGAGCATGCTAGTTGGCACAAGGAATGCCTGCCACACCCTTTAATAATCTTGCACTGTTTATTTTATTTTTTGGGGAATGAGGACTGGCTTTGGGACCTGGGCCTAAGTCAACCTGGGTTTTGAAGATCTGGTGTGTGCCCAGTATTGTGCACAAACTGCCTGGGGCTGGCCAGAAGCACGGCCCCCGCTTTCCAGTGAGTTCACAGTTTTGATGATACACAAAGTGCATGTGGAACAGGCACATGAAACTTTGAGTGCTATAGAAGCTCAGAGAAGAGAAATTACTGTGTGGAAAGGGGCAGGCTGGGGAGGGAAGGGCAGGGCTTCACAGAGACATTTTTGTCCATGTCCAATGCAGGACTGGGGTAGATGGAGGGAGAAGGATTCTGCAGAGAGGATCCTCACTGGTATGGGCAGCTCTCTTCAGCACCACTGTTAGGTGAGAAGCTGTTGCCAAATCCCATCTGAAGAGTGGAGTGCTAGGGGGTATGAGTGTCTTTGCAGCTTGCTGACTCTTTCTCACCTGTGATTTGTTTTCTCTCCCCAGCTATTATATGAAATCAGAGAGTTAAGGTGGATTCAGCTAATGGAGGAAACCTATAGGCCTGTCCATAAGTGCTGCTGTTCCTCCAAGCATAGATTTGAGTTTCTCTGACTTGAATAGCTGGCCTCTTGGTGTAGAACTCCTGTAGACTCCTCCATGGTCATGCAGGGAGATGGTACCAAAAATTGGAAGAATGCATTGAGTTTGCTTTTAGGTTTATCAAGTGTTTCATTAATAGGTCTAAAAACTATGAAAGGGATCTTGGTTAAGAAACCATATTTAGGTTCTTAAACAATTTTCCTTTATTAGGGAGGTATGTAGATAAGTTCTTTTACTTAATAGTGTACATTGAATATGCATAAATATGTGTGTATGAATACCATAAATATATTTGTGTAGAATACCATAGAAGTGTGTGTGTGTGTGTGTGTGTGTGTGTGTGTGTGTGCGCGCGCGCATGCGCGCACAGGTTTCTTGTGAAGTGTTTACCTGTGTCCTGCTCTCATCAGCTGTCAGTATCAGCCAGTGATGGTTAGAATCTGTTTTTTAACAGGCTCCCTCAATTGAGTCTCAAAACCTTTGAAGATAGGGTTTTCATTCTCCCTCCCTAATTTGTTCTCTTTTTGTGTTGCTTTGAAAAAAACATAGCAGATTTATTGACGCCCCTGCCTTGGCATTAATCACCTCAAAATTTAAAAGAATTATCATCTTAGTGACTTATAAAGCCCCAAGGTCTCTGGTGAGCTCTAAATAGCTCATCAGCTGTGTCTGCAGACAGCCTGTCCCAGAAAGGAAAGGAAAATAAACTCACCCTGGCCTGAGTCTGCTGGGAACACTGCTGGAAACACTCCAGGGAGTCCTGGGTGGGGGGGTTCTGGGGAGTTTGGGAAGCAAAACTAATGGGGAAAGAGGGAAAAAGGGCTGGGAACCAAGCCTTTGGGCCTCAGGCCGTCCTCTCAGTCATTGTTGGCCACTGCCACTCTCCCTGAACCGAGACTACGACAAAAGGCTACTTGAGTTGGAACTGTAGTTATTTGGAGATGTCACCCTGTCAGCATGAAACTTCATCAAGCACCTGTACAGTTTCCATTCTGGCCTTCCACCCAATAACTGTTTACTTAAAACCTAGTCATAGCCTCATTACAGTTGCAGGGGAAAGGAGAGGAGGAAGAAGTGTCATTCATTTATGCATTCACTGCTGCAACGACACAGTCCCTACACGCAAGGAGCTTGCAGGGCTCTCTTGCCAGCAGCTGGCTTATGGGGTATAGGATTGAGACTGTGGACAAGAATCCCACTCCATTCCCAAAGCCATTGGGAAGTGATCACGGAGATTAATTTCACATTCATTTATATTTTAATTTATTAGTTACACGTGAATTATTATTAATGCATAGTATACTATAATGCATTAATTTATCATATTTTATAGGTATTTATTGGGCATTTCTCCTGTGTGAGCCTAGGAGGTGTAGTGTGTGCCAGAAAACTGGCTAAGAACTTTTCACAAACAAGAATGAAATAAGGCCAATATCCGAACAATATTCGTTCCACAAACATAATGTCAGCTCTGAGCTGGAGGGCAGTGATAAAAAAAGATGAAAAGTCATGGTTCCTGACATTAAGGTCCTTCTAAGTGACATATATGCAGGTGACATTTAGGGTTTAGTGGGCTGTGCCCCATAGTGATGAAGGATGAAGAGAATGGAAAGTCACCTAAATGCACTCGGGGGGAGCGGGGGCTTGGGGAGACCTCACAGGTTTGAGCCATACTCTGAAGGGGTTTGCAGACAGTGGAGCGGTGGTTGAGGGTTATTCCTCCATGAGAGCGTTATCTGGGAGAGGTTGACAGAATAAGAGAATATGACATACTTGAGGAAACAATGTTGATATTTAAGATATTAGGGATGATAGTGGCAGCAATCTGTGGATGTCAAGCCAAATTCAGGGTGCCACCTGCCTTTTCAATTGTGTGTTCAGAGCAGTGTTTTGTTCACAACAAAATTGACTAGAAGGTGCAGAGAATTGCCACATACCTCTTGCACCCACATACACACAGCCTCCCCTACTGTCAACACAGAGTTGTACCTTTGTTATAATTGATGAAACTGCATGGTCTCATCTTTTTTTTTTTTTAAAGATTATTTATGCATATAAGAGCTGGGGTACAGGCCAGAGATGTGGGGGTGAGAGGATTCACCAGAGATAGAATGGGGAACAGAACAGGCAGATCCACTGAAATACACGCTGAGGGGGCAGCGGGCGAGTCAGGAGAGGTCTGCTGTGCCATGTGGGTAGCTCCCTGGCTGGCAGGGGATTGAACTCGTGCTGCAGAGGCTCCGGATAGCTTCGCAGTGTGGCGCTTAACCCCTTGCGCCACCAAGGAGGCCCCCGGTCTCATCTTTAACTCCCACAGTACATAGTTTATCTTAGGGTTCACTCTTGGTGGTGTACACCCTGTGGGTTTTGACAAATGTGTAGTGCAATGTAGACTAATTTCTACTATAATAGTGCAATGTAGACTAATTTCACTGCCCTAAAAATTCCCTGTGCTCTGCCTATTCCTCCCTTTCTCCTCCTTAACTCCTGGTAACCACTGATCTTTTTAATGTCTTCATAGTTTTGCTTTTTCCAGAATAGCATATAATTGGGATCATAAAGTGTGTAGCTCAGGTTGGCTGCTTTCCCTTGGTAATATGTATTTAGGTTTCCTCTGTGTCTTTGCATGGCTCAGTAACTTAGTGCTGACTGTATTCCATTGTCGGGATATACCACAATTTATCCATTCACCTACTAAAGGACATCTGGGTTCCTCCCAGGTTTTTTGACAATTATGAATAAAGTTGTTGTAAACATCCTTGTGTAGGTTTTTGTGAGGATTTAAATTTTCAACTCCCTAGGGTAGATATCGGTGCATATGATTGCTGGGTCGTGTGGTAATAGTATGTTTAGTTTTGTAAGAAACTGCCAATCTGTCTTGTAAAGTGGGTGTATCGATTTGCTTTCCCACCAGCAGTGAATGGGAGTTCCTGCTGTTGCAAATTCTCATTAGCCTTGTTCCAGTGTTGTCATGTTCCAGAT